ATAAATCATGATCCAACAAAAGAGACTACATGCTAAACATGATATGAAACAAAAGATATAAACATAAGAATAAAAGATAGAGTTGAAAGATCCTTCTCTAGAGTGGCATGAAGATGAAAATCCATCCAAAACATCAAAGGAGAGTTTGGATCAAACCCCAACTCAAGAGGAGAAGAAACTTCCTCCATGAAAAATAAAAGTCTCCTCCACTCAAGAACAAGAAAAAGTGAAGTGTGTCTCAATAATGAGAGTAAAAACAGATATATATGGCTCAAACACATTTTTGGAGCACTCAAAAACGTTTTGATTAAAGAAAACAAAGTTAGAAAAAGTGATTTTTGGGCAGTTCTGGGGACTGGATCGACCTCGGGTCGATCCACAAGTCGATCCGCAGAACAATCCTGATTTTTTAAAATTCGGATCGACCGATCCAATAGTGGATCGGTCGATCTGGTGCTATGCTCTGCACTTACTTCTTTTGCTCGCCAGACGGACATGTCTTCACTAAAGATTTTATAACTTTCGCAATATAGCTCCAAATGAGTTGAAACCACCTCCATTGGAAAGCTAACTCAATTTACTCTCAGATCCCAAAATTTCAGATTAATCCGATCAACGGAAGACCTTCAACAGAGATGATGTTTGAGTCGATTCGGACTTCTCATGCATGTGTTTTGCCCATTTGACCAATTCTTCTAACCTCTTTGTCTCCAACTCACTCCAGTATCTCCAAAGTACCTAAAAATGAACCAAAGATGCACAAAATGCAAAGAAATAGATCCTAGACTCTAAAATGATCCGAAATAAGACTCAAAATGATGAAAAATATGCAAAAATGAAAGTCTAATGACTATATAGGCTAAAGAAAATACATGCTAAATATGCTAAAATATGAATGCATCAGATGGGCTAGGATATATAGGTTCGCTCTAGACTCTAGTACTAAATAGATCGAATAAGAGCATTTTGGGTTATGATCAAGAGTAACAATCCGGTGTATATCCTCGTGAGTTAAGGCTTGTTCAGTTCTGGTAAACTCGAATTGATTAAGTTCGGGTGTAACTTAATTTTTAGTCGTATAACCTTATAGAGTAAATAGTATGCAATTAGTTTTGATAAACAGAGTTCTCTGTTTTCTTACTCGGTGGCTTCATAATCAGACAAGACCGTCTCGAATATGTTCCACTAATTGTAGTAATGTTTGAAAATTGAAACCTTAAGACACAATAACAGAGGAATTTTTTTGGCAGATGCGCAGAGTTTTCTCAATAGATTCGAACTCTTTAATGGAATCTCAAAATAGTGAAAAGAACAAAAAATGTATTATAAGCACAGTTATGTAGAGAGACACATTCATAAAGCTTCTTGATAGAAAAGCTAACATATAATGAAAATCGTGACACAATGGAAAATCACAAGAACATAAAATCAACATGGGAGAGAATCACAAAAGACTTTTATAAGTCATAAAACACTACTACCCTTTTTATAACTAAATATTGACTTTTGATCTCAAGAACCAAAAACAACAAAGCTCCCTGTGATTTTATTCCAGCTCCTCTTGGTCTTTGCATTCATTCTTCTTTATCAGACTTCATCAGTTTCAGTGTACCCTACATTCTTTTTTTGTTTTTGGTTGATTTTACTCGAAGAAAAGCTCTCTGGAAGTCACCTCTGCTTCAGTTTTGAATGTGTACTCACTACGAGATGTCTGGATGATGAGGTCACTGGCTTCTTGATTCAGTTTAGAGCATTTGAAAAAGTTGAGACAGACTCTTTGTGTTTTGTTTCAGAGTGGTTACTTAAGTATTTTTCTCCGTTCATTTGTCTCGGATGCTCTTTTATTGATTCTTGGTTTTCCAACAAGTACCCTAAAGATACTTGAATAAAGAAAAATTGCATATGATGTTGTTGAAGTAAGAGGATTCCGTTTGGACGTGATTCTACAATCCAAACTCAAGTATTCCCTATCAAGAACCTCATCTTCGCCCTTGTTAACCAATAAGATGCAGGCCTTAAATTTTATTGATGTAAGAAGAGGCTTTTCATTTAACTCCACTGTTAAGGAACTCCCAGAAGCTTTGTAAGTGAAGCAAGCAGGCACTTCTCCACCAGGTAAGACCAAGTATTTACAAGTTGATGTCCGGATGATGAGATCTCTCGCTTCTTGGTTTAGTTTGAAGCAGTTTCCAAAGTTTAGATGAATATCTGGATTGTGAAAGGAGCAATCTAGTCTCTCCAGGGAGACACAATTTTCAGCATCTAGGAACGGTAGGGAATCCGGTAGGAATCCGGAAGCTGTGAGAGTGATACCAGATTCTGCATACCTTTTAATACAAGTCGACGTAGACGAGAACATTCCTTGACGCATGGACCGTTCTCTTGTATTTCTGTATTAGTCAAATGCAGCTTTGTGATGCTGTTAAAAGCATGCGGGTATTCCTTGAGGATTTCAGAGTATGATATTTCCAAACTCGTAAGTCGAGACCACGACCTGATTGACAAAGGCACTTCTTCTATTGTAGTTCCCCTTAAATAGAGTCTTTCAGTGTTTGAGCAAATCTCAGGAAAACTTTTTAACAAGGAGAAATCAGTGAAATCAAGAAAATTGAGAGATTTCAAGTTGATGTTGATCGGAAGAACCTTTAGCTCTGAGCACCCTTTCATAGTCAACATCCACAATTTACGCAAGTTCCCAATAAAGGAAGGGAGCTCCACCATACTTGAACAATAATCGAGACGAAAGTATTGGAGATTAATTGCATTGCCAAGAGAAGAGGAAGCTCCAACAGACTTGAACAATAACTAAGATCCAGATTTTGGAGATTAGTTGCATTCCCGATAGAGGAAGGGAGCTCCACCAGACTTGAATAACTAATAAGATTCAAATCGTGAAGATTAGTTGCATTCCCAATAGAAGAAGGGAGTCTCACCATATTTGAGCAATATCCTAGATTTAGATTTTGGAGATAAATTGCATTCCCAATAGAGGAGGGGAGTTCCACCAAACTTGAGCAATATTCAAGATCTAATTCTTGGAGATTAGTTGCATTTCCAATAGATGAAGGGAGCTCTAGCAGGCTTGAACATCTACATAGACATAATTCTTTGAGATTAGTGGCAGTTGAGAGATCAGGAAGCTCCTTCAGGTTTCTCGAATAACTTAAATTCATCCACTTGAGATTTCGAAGCAACTGTATAGACAAATAAAGATAGAATACACTTAGCAGTTGAACACGCATAAAACTAAAACTAATACTCTTCCATGATATTTGTATATTTGTATTTATTCAAATTAAAAAAAAAAAACAAAATGAAAAGTGCAGTATGCTATTTCAAGTTTAAGATATTAAAACTAGTACTTAATTACTTTGATATCTTCCCACAGCTTCTCAAGCATGCTATGAGGCATTGTTAATTCGACAAGGGACTCCAGGTTAATAGTAAAAGGCAAACATGTCATCGGCGCATACGCCCAATCTAGATTTTGAAGTTTTGGAGATATATATACTTGGTGTGTCCTGACAAAGATGCCATGTTTAGAGGCTTAAAATAACTTCTTCCGAATTTTAAGAATCGGAGATTCGACATTCCTTCAAAGGTTCTCTCATTGAAGTTGTCCCAGTTCAGAGTGTCTCTGAAATAAATGCCTATAACACGTCTAGTAATCTGAAGAAAAAACCCAAAAAAAAATGAGTAGAGATCATAAAACAAATTCAAGTTGTAATAAGCAATGTATCGAAAGAGTAATGGTAAAACTTACTGCTCTAGGATCAGTGAAAGCTTCACAAATATCTTTATGACCAACCAAAAATTGTCGTTGCATATGCTCACGAGATTGTTTACAAACAATTTCTTTACCCAGTTGGGCTAGCAACCTATGCATCTTTATCCTATCTTGATCAATATATATGAGAGATTTCTCATCTAAAACACAAAGACCTT